GTTTTACACTAGAAATGGTACCTGGTACATGTGAATTCAGTCTATTTTCAAATCTCTATTTTTATAGCAATTTTTTTTGGTTACTGAAGATGGTACAAACCTGTTTTTAATAATGAATCATCTTTTAAGTGAAAAGTTACCTTCAAACTGCAGATTTCTGCTTCCAGAAATGTTCCTGAACAGCACTTTAAATATTACAAATTATATGAAAACAAAAGAAGTGGAATATCTTTTTACCTTAGTCCAGTTATAAACTGTAATCAGTCTATATAAACTGTGATCTATGGACTGGAACTTTGGTCTCAGCAATTTTTTTTCTTTTGGGGTGATTCTTTGCCTGGTTAAATGCGTGCTCTAACTGGCATTGAAGTCAAAAGATCTTTTCTAAGTAAATTGGTAGGGTTTAGATCCAGCCCTAAGGTAGAACTGACTTCAGAAATAACGTCCCAGTCCTGGTTGGGATCCACTGGCACTGGAGCAGTCTAAACTGCATCTTTTGGGAGACCACATAGTTCTGCAGGCATCAGTCATCTAAGTGCCAGTGGACAGCAGTTACAGACTGATCCACTGGCAGATCTTCAGTTCTCATTCTTTGGTTGTCCTTAGTGCCAGTGGACAGCAGTTAGAGACTGATCCACTGGCAGATCTTCAGTTCTCATTCTTTGGTTGTCCTGCCTACATTCCATGTGCAGCCACGTGTTTTTTATTTAATCAGATTCCTGGGGCAAGTATTCCCTAAGTGACAAAACCTGTCTTCAGCAGAGGAGCATTCTGCTTGTTTGAACATTGAATTTAAGGAGAATTATCTTAATTTTGCATCCGTCCAAGTAGAAAACAAATATTGGCTTTAATATTACCTGATAGTTATTTTTGTCCTTCATGACATACTCCATCTGAAAGCAGTCTTTTTAATGAATCTCCAAAAAATTAATCTCTGCTGTGAAGAAATCATTGAAAATAAATTCAGCCCCATAAATCAGCTTCCTACCTCATTTGACTAGCAGGAGTGAATACTTCCAATGTTCTCTTGATATTTTTGCCTTTACTGTTACTTTGTTTCTACTTGTTTTTATTATTCTCAATTGGCCAGTGCTATTAAAATCCTTGAGATGACAGTGTTTCTCAGTGTTTGGCTTGTTGCATGGGGTTCTGAAATGGAGGGGAAGGTACAGAAGGATGACCAGGTTTCAGACTAGAAGGTATAAACATCTTAGTTGAATAATAGAGTGTTGGGATAGTAGGGAATTATCCTGCAACTGGTCAAATAGTACCTTCTGAATTATTTGACTGGTGAGCCTTCAAACATGGTACATCAATAGTTAAATAGCAGGTAAGATCAGAGTCTTGGTAATGAATGCTATTATTGTAACTGCTTACCCACAGAAATGTAGATACAGTTTAAGCTTTAGGACAGTTACTTGGAAATTGAGGGAACTTGTAGAACAATTTGGATAAACAATACAAGCCACTGTTATCTGACTGAAATAGCTGTGTCCCTGAACCAGATGCTTCCAGGTTCTGCATGTTACTGGCTTCCAGGTAGGGACTTGCACTGCAGCAATCATCCAGCACTTTGGGCAAATATGCTTGAGGCTTTTTGTCCTGTAAGATTCTTCACACATCAAAAGCCACTCAAAGTGAGTGGGAATGATGGAGGCTTAAAATTAAACTGTCATGTTTCATGATGCCATTTCTTCCTATCGACTAGTAACAGCCCTGGGATGCAGAGAGGGTTGCAATTCAGCCCTGGTAAGTTTGTGATCCAAGAGGCAGATCCCTGGTTTTGCAGGTGAGAGCCCTCTTGGCTTCCTCTGGCCCTGTAGCACCCAAGAGGGCAGGCTGGTCACTGCTCCTTTGGGATTAAGAAGAGAGTGCTGACAAGTTACACTCCAAGGATCTCTTGTCCTTGACTGATTCAGGGCCTATCTTAATCAGGAGTGTGGGTAGAGGTGTCAGAAAATCAGGATGCCTTTCTGAAACTTGCACACACCTGCAATAGTAATGCCCCTGTATGAGACCTGTCTTCATCAGTTTGAAGCACAGGATGAGCTGTTAGTCTTTTGTGAAGAATTGCTCCTTTTAGGAATATGAAAGTGTTCCTGAGATTCCAGTGGCTTTGCACAAGCCATCCCAAAGAGATGGAAAAACTAAGTGTTGTTTCCACTCTTGCTACCCTGTTTCTCCTACAGAAATAGTCAAAGCCTTGAATGGTCACAAAGATGTTAAAGAATGGCCAAGTTCATTACAGTGGGATCACTCTCACTTCCCTCCCTTAGCAAAGGGGGAGCAGCAGATCCTTTCTCAAGAGCAGTAAGAGGTAAAACTGGCATTTCCCTTGCTTTCTTAGAGTCAACTTAGTTTCTTGGTGGCTGCATTCTTTCAGTGGGAGAACTGGGACTGGGGGATGAATCCAGTGGGGCATTCCTTTAGGATACAGCAATACATTCCTTGCATATATGCCAGAGAACCTTACCACAGGCCAAAAGGAAGAGCTTCAGAAGCTTGTGCAGCACCTTGAATCATAAGCCATTGTCTTCAGAGTACAGTTATCAGGGAAATAAGAACTGGAGATGACCTGAGTTCCTCTTATGAAAGCTTGAGCAGTGCATGTAAGAGATGGGGTTTAGTGCTACTGAATCTTTGTGTATAGATGTTACAGCTTGTCATTCTGGAGGAGAACTGTGTAACGTGCCAATGGACTCCTGTGCCCTGAAATTCTTTTTACAGGGTTCTTAAAATGCAATTCCATGGTAACACTGCTTTACACTGCAAAAATACAAGAATATAACAGCTGAAGAAAATCAGGATTTAATGCAAGTCTAGAAGTAGTATGATACAGAATGCACAAATTGAGTCTTACCCAAGATGTACACAGACAAATTGTAAGTGCCAGGCACAATGTAATGTTTTTGTTCTGAGTATGTGTTCCAGTTTTTGTGCAGCTGAAACTAGTCTGGTTCCAGGAATACAATAGCAGCCAAGAATATTCCAAGTGAATAGAACACACATTTTTTTACCAAGGTTATTTATTATAGGAGCAGTTAGGGGTGAGATTTTGTACTGGCCAAAAAGTTTACACTTCTCATTTGAGGTTTTTGTAGTGATATAATCTTGTTCAAGATCTAAACTTGAAATTTAATTGTTAAACAATGCAGGAAGCATAATGGAGATCTCATTTAGGAATGCTGGAATGAAGCTAAAATTTCTGCTCCAAGTTGAACACCTGCAATAAGTTACGACATGTGGTAGTAAAGAAGCATAAATGCTTCACACTTTTTTAATGGAGGGGACACCAATATTAATTATTCATCAAGTAGGAAAATACTCAAAACAGGTTTTAAATTGACAAAGCCGGTGTTCAGGTCACCTAAGGACTTACAGTTACTGGAAGGTGCAGCAATTCTCTATGAATAACATTTAATTATGTTTCAGACAGTGTAGTAGGTTGATGTGATGATGCCAAAAAGACTATTCATTCATTTAAAGTATCTGTATCAACTCTAAATCTTATTCCCAAAACTCAGTTTAATGTTTTCCTGGTTGCAAGGATGATTAATATTTCTTAAAATATTTTACATCTGTGAATCAAACTGGCAAGAATGGTGTGATTGACACACAAAATGAAAATGTCACCAAAGAACTTCAACTAAACAGTCATGAAACCTGTGCTGAATTACAAAAAGGCTATTTGTGAGAGTTTGGTGCTTTAACACACAGTTATGAAAAAAACTGAATGAGCAATAGAGGAAGTCATATGCCTGTACAAGCAGGAATTTGTAGCTAGGAAAAGAACTTCAGGGCTTGTCCCCAAACAAAACAAAAAAAACCAGGCAAAGACCCTCTCCAGTCTATGAAGTCAAAGTATGACTTTCTCTAGAATCCACAGCAAAACATGCAGCTAGAAAAGCTTGTGTAACTTCTGACACTTGGTACCAGACAGCTGGCAGACAGTTGTGTAAGAGCATGAGATCATCTTCTGAACTACCCAGCAGCAACTCACAAGATAACTGTAACATGTACAATATTGCACTGTGTCTCAAGACACATTATTTTTCTCACTGTAAGGAATGTTCTCGTTTGATAATGGCTGTATGGCTCAGAGCTCCTTTTTTCTGTATTTCTGGTGTTGATATTCTGAAAGAGCAGTAACGTGGTAGAAGCTAAAGTCATATTCTGTTAAATCTGCTCTGTAGGCAAGCCAAAACCATTCCTTGCAGTAGGACCTCTAATAAAGGCTGGCAGATGTTAAATGTGTGGGTATCCTGGAGTTGATGTTGCAACCTTCTGTCTGCTGCAGTGGAGGGAATGTTGAATTTCCTTGCAATGGTTGATAACCTTTCCCTGCTCTAGTACTTAAGTGTACTTTAGCTGAAGCAGAGCATTTTTGGCTCAAAATACTCCTGGGCTTTCCATGACTAGCAATCAGGCCTTTCGATTTTTAAAATTTATTAATAATATTGTTTATTAAAAAAAAAAGCAGCCTTGCCTGTCTCTCTGCCCTTACAAAGTACAGCTATTCTTTTATCCCTTCTTCCCCTTTGTTCCTCATGGCTCACATTTCCCCTTACACTGGTGAATTAGTACATCCCTTCTAGGTTAAAGTTCTGTCTTCATAAGGGGTTAATATTGCTGTACTTCATTTTGTGAAGTGTCAGCTGAGGCATCACTAGCCTCCGTTGTACAATATAGATAAAAGCTTCTCCTATATATCATCTTGCTAGGTAGAGGTCTTCCTTCTATCATGTTGCTGACTTGGTGAGTGTGCAGGGTCCACTCTCCTACAGACTCCAGGAGTTTAGAGAAGTACTAAAGCCAGTCTTGGAATTACCTGCATGAAGGGAGTTTTGGGCTAGACAGCAAAGTCCTGGGCTGTTTCCCAAATAACCTGACAAAGATACAGCTCAAGTTAGTGCAGAGATGGTATTTAATGTCCATAGCTGAGCATTAGGGAGAGAATCATTGGTATTACTGCTGTAAAGAGAGGCAGGCAGAGCTGTTAATGTAGCATATGCCATGTTTTTATTTCTGCTTGAGCTTAGTGTGACATACAGTGGATCTCATGTTTTACCCACAACGTGGTTCACTTCTCTGCACTAAGATTTAGCAGCCAGACCAAGCCTGAAGGGGCAAGTAACCAGACCCACCCAACACAACCACTGGGGTTTTAATTTTCCTTTAATGACAAGACAATGGCCATGCAAAGGAGCACGGTACAGGATTGCAGTTCTGCATGCTCAATACCAAAGCATCAGGGCAGCTCAGTGGGGTTTGTTGCAGTCATGTACATAAATTAGGGGTAGCTCCATTTATGCACCTCCACCAACTCTGATTTTCCAAATTGTTTAAATTAATGGTATCTACACAAGGTTAATTGTCTTGCTAGAAAGGACATTTCGTTTTCTTTTGCTGATGCCTTGTACATACCAAGGCTCACACTTGGAGATATGGAAGCTCTGGAAAAGCTTTAGCTATCAGAATGGCACAGCTCTTTTTCTCTGATGCAGCTAAGAGATACTATCTTGGAGTATCACTGAACTGTCTCTGGCATGGTTCAAGAAAGCCCTGGTCAGGTGCATTATCACACAGAGTCTTTCTTTAGAACTCCTACAGTTCCCAGAGCCCCTGCAAGCTTATGTTACATAAGAGAAAGGTACACCAAAGTATCAGTACCTTTCTAATTACTAGCAGCACCTTCACAGGTATCAACTGCAGCAATGCTGACTGCTGTAGCAGACCTATAAATCTGCCCACTCTTTGTTCCCAGCCTCTGTTTGTTTCTTCCACTTCAGTTCCATCACTCTTTCAAAATCGGTTCAATCTTCTGTCTTTTTGCTGAATACTCAAGTATTCTGTGGCTGTAGCCTTGCCAGGAGAAATGAGGTAAAATAATGCGTTTTGATGAGAAAAAATTGTTCTGGAAAGATAGCAAGTTTATTCATATAGCTACCATCTGTTCTTCTGCATTCCTGGAACTGAGTATAATTATAAACTGAAAAAGGATTCTTAAAACTGGCTGCTTTAAATAGGTTCATTCTCATTTTCAGATGGCTTTTGTCTTTCTTTTTTCTACCAAGTTCTTCAAGAAGAATTCACCTAATTAAAAGAAGAAAAAGAGACACCAAAATGATTTGTAGATATTTCAATAAAATAAGGCAGAAGAATACATTCTTGTTTAACAAGAGTGTTCTACTCTACAATACAACTGTTTTCACCAGTTGTCTTATAGGAATTTAGTTATATATAACAGCATTTCCAATACATACAGCAGGGATCTAAAAAACCCTCAAAACTATAACCCAACACACAATCTCTCCACTCCCAAAATCCTGATTTTGCTCCTGTCCAGTTTTATGAAATAGCTCTGTTGCTTTGTGCATTACAACAGGCAAAACTGGATTGATTTAATTAAAATTTAATTCCTGTTTCATAAAGTATCAGCAAGTTATAGTGAAACCTGCTATGAATCTTGTTTGAGCTGTCATTAAAACAGAGCAGCACAGTACCCCAGATGAGTCTTCTCTCTCCTTCCTTAGGAAAAAGCAGGATGTTGTACCTACACAACAGTTCCATTTAACATCAGCTGCTACTTCATACCCAGTGCTTTATCAGAAAAAGCACTGCTGTAAATGTCTCTTATTATTTTTAAAGCATTGTAAATAAATTCTGCCTAAAGCAACAAAACTGCAACACAAACAACCAGAGACCTCACTGACCCAGAAGCATCCAAGAGACAGAATGTGAAGGAAAACTTGAAAATATGGTACCCTCTATCCTGCCTCACACATTAAGTATAGTACAGAATAGATTTGAAAAAACAATTAGGTTAAGCAGCACTGCAATTGTACAAATTCTAATTACTGTCATGCTGATGCATTTGGATGACCCACAGGAAATAGTGTAAGTAATTTTAAAAATACTGATAACTATATGAGGTGTCCTTGAGCTAAGGTAAGCTTTGTTGCACATTACTTCACTGTTTTAGTTTTGTATAATAAAATGTTACATGCTAAATAATCCAATGCTTTTCAGTGATTTACCTGCTTTATAGGAAGAACGCACCAAAGGCCCACTGGCAGTGTAATGGAATCCAAGATCATTTCCTACTTTTTCCCAGTACTTAAACTTCTCAGGAGTTATGTACTCTTCCACCTGGGGAAAAGAATTAATTTTGCTCAGGTACTAATGCAAAGGAAATTGCTGTAGCTAGCATACAGTGAAATAAAATACAACTATATTGCAAGTTCAAAATTTTTCACTCCAAAGCTTTCATCAGTGAAGTCACAAACTGCATTTTTGCTCTGCTTTCTACCAAACAAATGTATTTTGTTTTACATATTTAGCTGAAAAGTTCAGAATTTAATCTCTAGTTGTTGCTTTATCCACTACAAAATCTTCCATTATCTTTTTGAAAGGTCCTTTCAAGCAAACCTGTTTTCCTGTCCAAGTCAGTGAAAAACCACAATAATCCTACAAATCTCTTCACTAACACAGTTAATTCAGTGAAACACAGGAACAGAACAGAGAGTGAATTTCTGGACAGACTGCAGAAGCAGAAAATGGTAAACATCCCAGCTGAAGTGGCACCATTAGGGGAGAGGCTGTAAGACAGTGAAGGGGCACTGGCTTGAGCAATTATGTTTGAGACATACACTGAAGCTCTTGTTTTCCAGAGCCATGCCTCAGCTCCAGCTGTCTCCCTAGCTAACAGCAGAAACTAGCACTGGGAAGTCTGCAGAAGATAGAAGGGGTTAGATGGCTGAGGTCATTTTTAGTGAAGAGCCCCTAACAGATAATCATTGTTACACTAACAAGGAAGGAAATTTCCCCAACATCTGCAGTTAGAGTAAGGATGACTGTGTAAGGTACAGACCTTAACTCTGCCTGTAAATTAACGGCACTTTTACCTTTAGGTGACGTTTTGTTGGTTGCATATACTGTCCTAGGGTCAAACAATCCACATCTGCTTCCCGCAATACTGGAAAAACAAAAGTCCTTGTTAGTGGCAGAAGGATCACAAGGAAAATCATGGATTTACCTGTCAAACTGAACCTGTAAGCTATAAGAAGACAAAATATTTCAGAAATTCAGTCTTTTTTAACCAAATTATTATTTTTCAATGGAACTTGGAAAACATTTCCTGCACCAGCAAACTGATTGTCATGTAGAGGCAATGATGCTTATAATTGTTGCCGGCCCGCAGCGCGGCTCCGCTCCGTGCCACGCTCCGCGCCGCGCTACACACCCGGCCCGTAGCCCGGCTCTGCTCCACGCCCGGCCCCACTACACTCCCCGCTCCGCGCCACGCTGCGCTCCACGCCCGGCCCCGCTCCGCGCCCGGCACACCCAGAGCCATTGGTCACCTCTGCAGTGCCGGCACCGTCTCCACGTTGTGCGCATACACATCCAGACCCGACGAGGCGACCTTCTCCACTGCTTTAAGGTCTCCTCGGAAATCGGGAGTTAGGCATTCCACCAGGATTTTTGGATTCCTGAAAACGAGAGACAAAAGGAACACATACGTTGTGGTATTTTGTGACCCTGTGTCCCAAAAAACTCAAGACAGCTAAAAAAACCCATACCCCCATAACTGAAGATATGACACTAATAAGCAAAGCAAAGTTAATTCAGGATACTTCTAAACCAACAGGTTTCTCCAAACACATTATAACAAACTCGTGTTAAGTTAACATGCAAAAAGACACATTAAAAAAATATAAACAGTGCATGCAAATGTTTGAGAGACTGTTGGAATTGCTTTTATATTTATTATTTGGCTTCTGCTGTATTTCAGCTCACATCAGTAAAATCAAGAACTTGTTTTGTTTAAGATCATAGCTCCAAAATACAGAAGAGCTATAATTCTGTTACTGGAATAAAAAAGACTCATAGTCTAAAATCTAGTCTTGGTGTTCAGGAGGCTGATTTCAGCTCAAAAAGGCAGCTGGGGAAAACTGCAGGAACCCTTCAAGCCCCAAGATACAATGGATAAAGAGACTTAAATGAAGTTATACAAATGAGGTCTGCAGGCAGGCGAGTGTGCTGTTGAACAGCATACAGGGCACCGACATAGGGTGAAGGCAGCACAGCCAGGGAAAGCAGGAAGGTACAATCACAGACTTGGAAATGGCCACTGAGGCAAAATGAAAAGCAGTTTGATCACTGCTGAGTGAGAAACCAGACTCCTTTGGTCACATGGTGACAGAGTTACCTAACTCTGCTGTGTCTGAGCCCAAGGTTCAGGAATGAACATACCTCGGAAGAATGTATTCATTTCCTGGAAACCAGCTGTCTGCTCAAAGAAAGAATCCAGTGCTTAGCTTTAATAAGCCTGGGATGAATTGGAAATGCATCCAAATTCAAAACAGTTTGGGGCCATTCTATGAAAAAGATGAAGAAAGAGAGGAAAAAAAAGGGGCATAGGCAGGCTAGAGGCAGACTTTTGTATTTGCCTGGCCCCTGGAATAAGCCAGCTATAGGAGCTTTGACCTGCACGCAGTACCACCTTCTAAAGTTTTAACAGTAACAGTAACACATGGATGACACACCTTTCTTTCAGATGCCGGACTGTCTTTGCAAAGTGTTCCGCTCCACCATCAGGCATATCTAGAAGCATTTCAATTATTCAGTTAATCTTTCTGTTCAAGAAATGTATTTACTTACTAGCAAAGCCAAAAAACCCATCCAATTCAAACCTTAAATGCAAAATAATAAAGCAGTCAAACCCCAGTCTTGTCTCACCACTTAAGCCGAGGACTTACAAAAGGTATCATTCCAGCTTCTGCACAAAATCTAACTGTGATTGTCTAGGGCAGAGCTCAGATTTACCAGTCTCTAGCTTCCCTGTCTCCCTGAGCACAGGATGGCTTTACCTATTTATGGTTCTGGTCTGAAAAACAGTTGTACAAAAAGTGAGAAGTAGATCTTAGTGCTCTTTTAATTTGAAGCCACTGGACTTTCCATCATACTGAAGAGTTTTTACAATGGCTTTCCTCACCTATATGGTGTCACCACAAGGGAGCTACTGCAAGGAAGCTACTTCCCACTTCCTTAGGAAAACACAACTTTCACTTTTGTTACATATACTGTATTCCAGGTTTAGTGTTTAGAAGGAAGTTCTGTAATGGTATTGTATATGATTGTTTGTCTTTTTGCTATCCAAGTAACAGAACGTGGTGTATACACATGCATTCTGCTAAAAATTAGTTATAAAATATTTAGTGTTGTAGTATTTATTTATGTTTGTTAAGAGCGTAATTTCTGCTGTATTTCACCAGACATGGAGAAATACTGAGAATATGCAGGAACTGTGCAAAGTTTCAGCACTGCTGTCTCCTCTAACACAGCTCTCCTGGGCAGCTGTGCAGATGAATGTTCCTGGGGCTGTGTGCAGCCATGGAACACGGGTGACAGCTCAGGGGGCACAGGGAGAGCCAGGCACGCACTGGTGACAGCTCAGGGGGCACAGGAGAGCCAGGCACGCACTGGTGACAGCTCAGGGGGCACAGGAGAGCCAGGCACACACCATCTCTGTCCACGGACGTCAGCACCACGTAGTCCAAGCCCCAGGCCGCGATGGCCTCGGCTGTGTTGTAGGGCTCCCGCGGGTCCAGCGGAGGGGGGTTCTTGGCAGTCTTCACTGAACAAAACCTGCAGCCTCTGGTGCACGTGTCACCCATCAGCTGCAACACGAGAGACATTCCTCCCTTTACACAGCACCACTGCTCAGCTGGGAAACAGCTGCATGAGCTACATCAGATAAATCCTAACAGTAAGCAAAAAAAAACTAGGACAGTGCTTTACTCTAAATTTATTGTAATAAACCCATTCCACTACAGTAAAGACCCAACAATAGAGCACAAACAGCTCAGACATGAGCAGAACACTTGGGAAATGGTTAATGACTTACCATAATAGTAGCTGTCGCTGTGGCAAACTCCCCACCTCCCCAGCATTCCCCAATGTTGGGACAACGTGCTTCTTCACATACCTGAAGGTGAAAGGCTGTACTGTACTTGGATTTTTCCATATTATTTTTGAAAATAATCATTATATTACTGATGGATTTTAATAGTAGCCTACAAACAAAACATAATTCCTTCTGTGATAAATGAGGTTAACAATTCCCTGCTGTTTTTAACAAGTCAGTAGAACAGATAGGAAGAGGACTGCTTCCTGATATCCATTACCTTTATTTTCTCTACTTCAAAACTCCAAAAACTGTTGTCAGTCACATAACTGTCTTATTAATTAGCACAGACTACCATTAACATTAATATTTTAAATTGAAGAACTGATAAAATGTTCACAAAGTATGTGATTCATTAAAGCATAAAAAACTAATAACTTAGTCTGAAAAAAAAAAATATAAACAAATCCCCTCCATGCATTCCCACTGCTTTTTACTACCTGGAAAGTACAATTAATGAAATCTGCACAGTTTCTTTTCATGAAAATCAAGTATGTAACTCTGAGATTGTGTGTGTCTCCATTAAAAACAGTTGCACATAGCATCTTCCAATCTCTGGTGATATAAGCAGTAAAACCCAGTATTTAAAATCACAGTAGAAAAAACACTAGATCTGTTAAATTTACCCTTATTCTTTAGGGGTAAAATTTACTGCTAGCAAAAGGGATAGCACTGGGCTTGGTTTCAGCTCTGAAGATCATGCAAGACATGATTTCTACCTGTCCTCCACAGAGAAAAATGTAAAATTTGCCTTAGTTCTACAGGAACACTTGGTTGGTGCCAGACTTACCGTATGAAGATTTAAACTTCTCAAGGTATTCTTTAATTTATTGTAGTTCTTTCCCATGGGAATCTTTGTTTTCAGCCATGGAGGAAGATGCAGCCTGAATAATACCAAGCAAGCATAAAGATTAATAAACTACTTACACAGTGAATTAATAGATTTGTTTTAATGTGTTACAGATCCCAACAAGGAAAGGTCCCTTGAAAACTGATGCAGTTCAGCCATTATTGTTAACATCATCCATGGCCAGATCAGACTCCTCTCCCCTGTTCATCATCGTTCCAACACTCAAGAATTGTTGTCACTAACATGTTTAAAACTGTTCACTGTTCCAGAGGGATTGAACAGTGCCACCACACTGGAGACTGCAACATTAATGGCAACAGGTATTGCACAGCTATCACAAAGTCTGGTCACTCTGTAACTGGAAATATGGGGGTTTAAACATTTTTTTAATATAAATCTTAATTTTTTGTTTTCTCTATCAGTAGTACTTTTTCAACAGATTTCCCTACTGATGTATATTTGTAATTGAATTACTGGCACTCAAGAACATACCACTATGTCTCCACATTTTTTATGGATTTGAAATTAATGACGCTTGTCCTTTCTTGAATAATCCTTAAATTTGCAACACAGTAGGGTGGAATTTAATAGAGATGCATAGCATAAATTTTGTAGTTACTACTAAACATTCAAGATCATGCTGGGAAGCAACTAAAGCTGTTTAAAATCACTATTACCTTTCTCCTTTCTCACGCTTTAAATTGCCTTTATAGTCAGCCCATGTGCTCTTGTCTGACAGATCTCCAGAGACAAAGTCCTCTAAGTCTGGTCCATTCTGCAGGTGCTCTTTTTTTTCCCCTGGTAAAGAACCTGATGTTCCATACCTGTTACACACATGGCTTCCTAACACCTAAAACAAGCAAAATTATGATTTATTTAGTAACAAACATGGTGGGATCACTAGACAACAATTTGCCTTTTTGCTGATTAATGAACACTTTGTGTAAGCATTTTCCCAATGGCTTTTAAGCTAAATGTACAATCCTCTTTTTATTTTAAGCTACATGTAACAGACTTCTCCATCATAACACCACACTAAGTTATGCAGTGTAACACACAATTCCCCTGTTCCCAGCACTGGTGAGGCCACAGCTCAAACCCTGTGTCCAGTTCTGGGCCCCTGACTGCAAGAGACATTGAGGGGCTGGAACTGTCCAGAGAAGGGCAATGGAACTGAGGAAGGGTCTGGAGCACAAGGCTTGTGCTGAGGGAGCTGGGGGTGTTCAGCCTGGAGAAAAGGAGGCTCAGGGGGAACTGACCGGCCTCTACAATTGCCTGAAAGGAGGCTCCAGCCAGGCGGGGATGGGCTGCTTCTCCCAGGCAGCCAGCGACAGGCTGAGAGGAAATAGTCTTACACTGCACCAGGGGGGGCTCAGTTCGGACAGCGGGAGGGAGTTCTTCCCATGAAGGGTGATGGGCATTGGAATGGGCTGCCTGGGGAGGTGGTGGGGTCACTGTCCCTGGAGGTGTCTAAGGCAAGCCTGGATGTGGCACTCAGTGCCCTGTGTGCTTGACAAGGCAGTGTGGGGTCACAGCTTGGACTCCATGGTCTCAGAGGTCCTCCCAACCCACAGATTCTGTGGAACAACGTTCTGTGGGTCACTCCGCTGCTTGGGGCCGCAGGAAGCGGCTCTGCCGAGGCTCCCGGGCGCTGTCCCACGGGAGCGGGGCCGGGGCCCGGTGTCCGTGCGGGGCTCTGCCCGCGCCCGCCCCGCGCCAGTGCCACAGACCCGCTGGGCGCGGGCACCGCGCTGCGCGCACAGCGTCTCCTCCTGCTCTGCCCTGCCGTACCGCATCGCGGCCCCCCCGGGGCACACGGCGCGACTCACCCGGGCCCGGCCCCGCGGCACCAGCAGCCCCCGGGCGGCGGCGGCCCCGCACCGGCCCTGCGGCAGCAGCAGCGACATGGCGGCGCCCGGCCCGATCGACGCGCTCGGCCGGCTCGGCTACTCCTGCCTATCAGACGGCTTGCCCGGCGCGGTGACGTCACGCAGCCCGGAGCGGCTACAAATGCGTGATGACGTCATGCGCTGTCTCTTTTGGCGCTGTGCGCTGCAAGGTGAGGGCTGGCGGTGCGGCCGGGCTCGCCCGGGATCACCGGGATAATCCGGGACCATCCGCGGCGCTCGGTCCCCCAGCGCCCCGCCCGCGCGCGGGCAGCCCCCCGGGGCGGCGCCGCACGCGTTCTGCTTCCAATCTCCGCTGTGTCCTGTGCCCCAGGGCTTTCGCTACAAGATGAGGTCGGTGTACGCTCACTTCCCCATCAACGTGGTCATCCAGGACAACGGCTCACTGGTGGAGATCCGGAACTTCCTGGGCGAGAAGTACATCCGCAGAGTGAGGATGAGGCCAGGTGAGTGTTTCTGGAGATGTGTTCTGGTTTTAACTAGGCTTTCCAAGCTGTTTTCTGTGGGCTCTGCCACTGAGAATGGGGGAGGATGAATAATCGTTAGAGCAGCATGTGCTTGTCTGAATTTATGTAATCTTCTTGTGACACCATTGCCACTGTTCAGATTTATAATTAATAATGCCTCTGTAATTTTACTAGTGAGAGTTAGCTAACAACCAGTCTGGAGTGAGTTACTGTAGTACAAGGAATCCAGGATTTAAGTTAATGACTGGGAGATCTTAACAGTGTTGGTAGTTGGTGACCTGCAGCTGCTTAGTGTTAGATTTGCATTTCTGTTTTAAAACACTGCACATGAACTAGTTTCATACCAGTTTAACATGTTCTAGTTTGAACTTGCTGATTATCTAGGAGCATTCACAATAAACTTAGAAGTTATCGTCTTATTAGCTGTTTCTACATCTTGCACATTTGGAGTTTCAGTAAAATGTCTTAACAGAAAGGCAGGTGTTTGATGGAGCTTATTAAACTTCTGAAAGGAGACAACAAAACAAGTCATAAACAGAGTTACATAAAGACTGTAGGAAAGACATCCCTTATCCATTTGGTTTTTTTGAATTCCATTTCTGGTGAGGGTATGGGTAAGGACATTTAATGTGATTGATGATGTGTTGGGGTGACTGTAGAGGAATGCATCAGAACTTGTCCCAAACACTGGTAGATAACAGTGCAGGAGAGTTACAGGGTTTTTGATTTACTGTGGGATATTAAGGGTGGGTTTGATTATTGTATTTTTTTAAATCAGCATTTACTCTTAGTATTGGGCTGGCTTAAAATCTGATAATCTGTTGATTAAATAGAAGAAACTGTAAAAACTTCTGTTACTCCCCTTAAAAATTCAAGTTTCCTGTTAGATTCTTGAATGCCATCATGTTTACTCCGTGTGAGTATTTGCACCATGGCTAGTGTAAACACAGTACATGACATGACAGGGGGCAGGTGGTTTTCAGTGGCTTTTGATGGTTCTGTGATTGCTGACTCCGGCGTGCTCTTAATGAGCACTAGCCTGTGGAGATGGCACCACCATTGGGACAGGACATTAATATTGCTTCTTTAATACACTTAACACCTTCAACAGTGTGGATTATGTGTTTGCCTTTCCATAGGTGTTACCTGTGCAGTATCTCAAGCCCAGAAAGATGAGCTGATCCTTGAAGGCAATGACATTGAGCTGGTCTCCAATTCAGGTTTGTGAAAGTAGATGCCTGGAAACTTGTATGGAAACTTTTATCTGAAGATGGCAGCTTAGCAAACTCTTTACCTCAAATCCTGAGGTAAACAACAGCACAGATCTTTTTTTTTTTTCTCTAGTCACTGTAATTGCTTTTCGTAGTTCCTAACTCTGTTTGTAAGTTTAAAGGTGTTTTTACAAGTCTGCAGAACCTTCTTCTTCAAGTCAGTACTTATGGCCTTTTTGGCACCAAACTTTTCAGATTTTCAGTTGTACATGTGTGCAGTAATGAAGTGCTACTGCTCCAAGTTGAGCTCAGTGAAATGCATCCTATTTTCATTAGACCTTACAGGATTTGAAGTTGGTAATTCCTGTCTCTCGATGACAGTCCTGTTTGTTAGATGAAATACTGGAGTATAAACAAAGGTTACAAGTTGGGTTGGACCTTTTGGCTTTGTGCTAACAGTCTCACTTGGTCTGCAGCTGCTTTGATCCAGCAAGCCACCACAGTCAAGAACAAGGATATCAGGAAATTTTTGGATGGTATCTATGTTTCTGAGAAGGGAACAGTGCAGCAGGCAGATGAGTAAAACTCACAGGTTGGTATCATCTTAATACACACTTCTCTGTAGAGATGGGGACTTGACAAGGTTTATCTGCTTCAACATGGCCATGGTTAAACAGGTTCCCAATAGGGATGAAATTTTGTTGTAAAAGATGTCATAAGATACATAATAAAATTTGAATTTTGGTAGGTCTTTCAACAGCATTTTTCATCAACTTGGCATTTTGCTATTGTATGGAGAAAACCTGTGTTCTCCAGTGCTGTACACTGCATTGTGAATGCATGCTGCAGTGTGCTGGCTGAGAATTTAAAAACAGCTGACCTGGCCTGACTGGTTTACAGCTATTTACAGAGAAGACCTCAGACTAATGTTCCTCCTGGTTGGACACTGCCCTCACTAAAATGGTGGACAGCACCCAGTTTATGTGTAAAGGTCTCTGAGCAGTTAGTGTGTAAATGCTGGTAAACAGGTCAGTTTAACAAGGACATGTTACATTGTCCATGGGCATTGTTACTGAAGTTGAGTACGATGATTTGGGGATCATTTAGGAATTTTAACTGCTAAAGGAACTTGATGCATTCCAGCTGTGTGTGGTTCCTTACACAATACAAAACACCCGTGCAGGATGAAACAGTCTGAGTTGCAAATAAATTCTGTGCTGTGTGCCTTGAGAACCTAAGCTACAGGCAGGATGTAGATGAAGTTTCATAAACCCATTTTTTTTTAAATCATCCTCCAGATACCAAACATTTGCAAGCCTCTGAAAAAATAACTTTTGGTACTGTTCCAAGTGCCTTGAGAAATGGAGCAACTTCCTTCATTTGTTGAACAGTTGAGCTGTTGTGCTTGAAGGCATCTTTAAGTAATCTTGTCTGTGTAAAATCAAGGAAGTTCTTTGAGCTGTTAATGTCTGTCTTGCATTAAAATCATCAGATAAATAAACATCAAATGGTTATAAACTTTGTTTCACATTTGCACTGCTAAAATCTTTCTAAAAGCTCTTTGTTTTATTTACAGCTGTCTGGATCCCAGCAGTATTTTACCATGAGACATTGTCCAGCAATCCCAGCTGTGAACAAGGTGATAACATTAGATGTCAGTAAAATAAACTATATTTCATATCTTGAGTTTGTTGGGTTTTTTTAAAGAATAAAATGGTGATTGCATGAACCTGATGGCTTTTAGAGAAGCAGATTGCACAGTGGGTCCACCCTGCCAGTGTGTTTTCAAACCTTTGGACTTCATTCAGACTGAATGAATGTGCTCAGAGACTGGTAGGGCAATGTGTAGGCCATGCTACCATGATCTTTCTGTGACAAAGTCATGAAGTGGCATTTTTGAATCACAGCATGAAGAAATAATAAAAGCATTTTTCTTACAGGGGAGACCAGTTCTTTCACATCTTTTCTCAAGCCTCAGACTTGTGATGACAGAATCTGAAGTAGATGAAAAACAAAACTGAAATCAGGAGAATGAGATTTGTAAGACCATTTAAACTAAATACATAGATAGAAGCAGTAGTCTGAAAACACAGTGCTTTTTTATTGCTCAATTAAGAAAACAAGGGACTTGACCTCAAAGCTCAATCAGAGTGTATTGCTGAGTTTCACCAGCAGTGATTTGTTACCTGGGGATACAGCTTGGTTTCTTCACTGCTAATCTTGCCCATGTAGCAACATCTAACTGGGAGGTTGTCCTATTTAGTAGTAAAATCCACATTGTCACTTGCTCCATTCAGTTTGGAAAAAGTATATAAAATACTGGGATAGTGCAGAAACATACTTGGCAACAAGTTGCTAAAGCATCCCACACGTGTTAAAAAATTGCAAAAGCTGCCCAAAGATTCACCCAATCTGTAAGGGATATCTCTTGGTCAGTAATGGAGTTAACTTGGTTTTGTTCTTTTAGGGGTATCTTCAGAAGTTGGCCTGACACATTTCATGCCTGGTGTTGTACTTAGTTGAAGGTTTGTGGGGTTTAATAATACTTATAAACCCTAACAGCTTCAGTTTCATGCTGTGCTGAACAACACTCATGAGATGAATACACATCACAAAACTTACAAAGGTGCATATCAGTTCTCAAAAGTTGCTCTTTGCAAGTAAAGCTGTTTTAAAGGTTATTCCAAGGCACAAGAGGGTCACGATTTTTTTTTTTAACAGACGAAGTTGTCTTCTAGGTACAGTAGGTGGATAAAAGTAATTTCATTAGAAACAAGTGCTATGGCTCTTCTTCCTGTGAATGTGATTACTTCGTTTTTGAATGAAATGCTGGTGTGTGTGGCTGGAGTGACTCAGTGCTTTTCCACAGTTGTCTGAGTGGCATTGTCCACTGTAGAATGCAGTGATGGATCTCACTGAAAGTGGGCTTGTGCCCCCTTTTAAAATGAGACACAGATGCATTTGATGCTTTTTGCCTTAAAACGTTTCCTTCTTTTTCTTTTGTGAAAAAAAATAATAACTAAAAGCAAACTGAGGGTAGAGAAAAGGCAACAGGCAAAGAATATTAATGGCTTCTTCTGAGAAATAAACAAGCAGAAGCTACACTGCTTTTCGTGGCTAGAGGTGCCACAGACTGAGTAGTTGGCAGGAAAGCCATTGTTGCTTATCAGGCTATTGTAAAATCTTACTGAAGGCTTTTCTCTTGAATCCGAAGTGAAGAATCCAAATCTGGGCTTAGATTTTTCTTCAGTCAGCTTAAATGCATAGTAGCCTTTAATCTTAACTTTGTCAATGTAGTAGGCTGAGAAGGAAAAAAAACCAAAACAAAGTGTTAATTAAAACTTACATTTCAAGTAAAACCTGCAGACTTTCTAGTAAGCAGTTCAGATTTCAAATTGTTATAAATATAAAAAGTGTACTTTCATCAGAAAATATTTACTGCTTCTAATATTCAGTTGTCTCAATTACATAGGAATAGTGCCTTACTGATAAAAAAATTATGAATTTGGATCTACCCCATGAAAACTGGATTTGTACGAGGTTGGAGCTGGTGGTTTGTTTTCCTGGGAAAAGCTGGATGCTGCTCTTAACTGAAGCCAGCTGCAATGACTCGGGAGCGGCTGCCCATAAGTGCCATGAGAGCTTTCCGAGAATTCCTGCACTGCTCCAAAATCAGCTGCTCATCCCTGCAGCATGCATGGCTCTGTGTTACACTGCTGCACCCATGTGCTGGGTGAGAATACTTAAAAATAGCAAGCCTTGAAGTAATGTGCAATCAGTGAGCATAGTTGGGAATGTGACCCAGACTAAGAATATGATTACAGACTAAGAACATAATTACGGGAGAAAACAAGTAGTGGAATGAGAACTAGAGTTGGACTCCCTTCAACAGCAGCTAGTGCTGCTGCTGCCCTACTGTATCTTCCGTCCCTACAAGACTGGATTTGCTTGCACTTTCTGTCCAATTATTAGTTCAGCAAGCAAGGAGGCTCTTGCCTTTCTTAGGAGAGTAGAAACTTTAATTGCCTCTTGGGAGTTGGGCTGAAGTGCTATCTCCTAATAATTTCAGAGTAACTATGTGCATGCCCAGAGAGCTTCTCTCATGGTTTAAACTGGAGGCAGCTGTAGCTGCATTTTGTGCAAGGCACTTGATGCCATTCCTCTGTCATAGCTGCCCTGAGTGTGACTGCAGAGCTGGGCCCCTCAGGGGTCTCAGTGCCGCTGGCTCCTGTATCTGAACCAGGACTGCTCACTCTGTCCAGGGCAAGACTTAGCTGTGCCTAGGTCTGAGCCATGGAAATGGCACTGGGGAACTTGAATCTGTCATGTACTCACCTTTTAAAACCTCTTGTGTGTATTTGCCCAAGTAATAATTTCGAAGCTCGTCGTTGTCTAAGGATGGGTCATCTATTCCATTTGCTGTGATGTAGATGTCAATGTCACCATACATTTTTTTGATCCACCTGAGAACTTTGCGCATTCCCCAAGGCACCACTGCCAAACGAGAAGGGGAGCTCAGGCAGGTGATATCCTGCAGGAATTGAATGTCCCGATCAAATTCATACTGGCTTCCATTCTGAGGTTCATCAATCACAAATCTGGTGGTGAAGTGATTCAGTGCATAAAAGTCAGCTGCACCTTTGACAAGCTGCTTTTCCTCACTTGTGAAAGATGGCAACAAACTATATGAAAGGCCTTTTCTGTTTTTAAAGGTGATGTATTCCCTCATAGTAGCTGGATAGTCCCCAGTCTTAAATATGGGATTGGCAAACCAGCCTATTTCAAACTGAAGAAACCTGTTGGCAGCTTTTGAATGAGATTCAAAGAAGGGGTTGGCAGGCTCAGCCCAGTCCGAATGCAGGGACAGGGACACTTTGCCATGCTGAGAGGACCGGTACCGCTCGTCGTATATTCTCCAGGCCATGGCGTGCGCTATTAATAAATTGTGTGCTGCCCGATAGGTGTCATTGCTGCTCCTGTTGTAGACATTGCTTAGCTGGTTTGGCTCGTTTATTGTAATCCACAGTTTAACCAAATCACCAAGCTCCCTGAAGCATAAAGCTGCGTACTCTTGAAAAGCGTAGGCAGTGGATTGGTTCAGCCATCCTCCTGTCTGCAGCAGAGGAGCCGGCAGCCCCAGGTAGGTGTGAGTTGGATAATACAAGGTGACCATGGATTGAATGTTGAGTTTCAGGGCTTCACTGATCACACATCTGTAATACCTAAGAACTTGCCTGTTGACCACTGACAAATCTCCGTTGGGTAAAATTAGTGACCAGTCAAGAGCAAATCTGTAATGGGTCACTTTCATTTTTTCCAGAAGATCCAGTTGCTTTTTAATACTGACAAAATCTGTGCACTGTGCTGGTCGGGTTTTTAGCTTTACCCCTTCAACTTTGTGCAGAAGCCCATCTCCTGTGACATTCCAGAGGTACAAGCTGGAATCACAGAACTGTGGTGAGGAAGCTGCTGATTCTGCCTGTGAAAATAAAAATATGTTACAATGGGTTTTAATGAAATGAACATAATATCTGCTTGTAATCTGCATTTCTGCCTGAGTTTAGCTGCTGATGTCAGAAGGCCCTGCTTAAATGCTCCAGGGGGAAGAGGATAACCAGCTCACCTATATGGTCTTTGTGCTAGTGGTCATCCTAGCATTCTGTTCCTTTCCCAATGAAAAACATCAAAATTTCACTTTTTTCTTTTCAGTTACACATGGGCATTTACCCTGCCACCAACCTACATGACATGTTTTCACAGACACAGCTCTCCCTGATTGAGTTCACTCTGGCCATGCACACAGCAGTTCCCAGGCAGCTGCCTGGAGGGCAGGTGGTGAGAACAAGCACCAGGGGCTGTATGAGGCAGGCAGGGATTATTTTGTCACTGTTGCTGTGACCAACCTTGTGAAACTGAGGCATAGTAATCTGACACAAACAGCTTGTAGCATTTAGTTACATCTTTTCTGTCTCCTACTAGTTGAAAAAGCTCAGTATAACACTTTTTTTAATATTCAAATTTTTAAATGCTTTTTGTAGGTTTCAAAGTACAATTAATGAAGTTTAAAATGTTTCAATTGCTTTTTTTAAGGAAATGTACTTTTTTTCTGTGCTGCATATTAACAAGATATATAGAAACTTAACTTTTCCCTTTATGGTTGTCAGTGAGTAGGTTAAATTAGGGGATTTTGTTGTTATCTTTTGAGGCTGGTGTTTTCATGGGACTGTCCATTTGTGATGACAAGAAGGGTATCCCAACACTGGCCATACATACAGTTAGCTAATTTACTAAGTTTAAAGCAGAAATAGAAGAAAAATAAACTATATATAGGTCCTGTAGGAGCCACTTTGGACAAAATGTTGTATGATCTGTTTTCTAATGAGAGCTCAATTGGTAAAACCTCAAGATTGGTTATCTTCACCTGTGCTATGTGTCTTTTTAAAGAATGGTTTCTTACCCACTTGTCTGAGTGGCACTTGGAGCCAGGCCTAACCCAGGAATGTGTTTCTGCTGTAGACAAGATGTGGAGCCTGCAGGTCACTGGTGCCACCAGCATAATCACCTTGTCCCTGCCCTTTGTCACTCTCCATCAGGCCTTCACAAGCATCCCTATGGCCACACTGCAAACTGGATTTGGAAACCCCTGGTTGAAAAATAACCCAGTAACAATTGGTTGGATCAACTTC